CACAAAGTAAGTATTAATATTTGTTGAATGAAATAAATGAATAGGATTGTTGTGAAGAATAAGACACCTAGAAGATATTAAAGTATTAATAACAGAGTTAAAGGAATGAAGAACCATTATTCCTGTTATTTCCTTAATGCAAAGTAACTGAAATTTATTACTTTCTCAGAGTGGAGCCTTGAGTTACTTTTTAATAGTGAAGGTTCACATAGAAATAGATTGAGAATTTCAGCTGTGTTATAGGCTTTTATTAAAACAATATAAACTCCAATTATGGTGAAGTCTCTCAGGGAAGGTGGCCAGAGAGGGGCTGGAGTGAGGTGAGGTTCTCACTGATGTACCTAGATGTCAGTGTACTCCTGCTAGTAAGGGGTGTAACAAGGAGGTGTTGAAGATTGGGGATGACATGGACCTCTGTCATGATGGCTATACCCCTTCCACTAGGTGATCCGAACAAATTTGGTGGAAATTTCATGGTAGAAACAACAAACGGTTCAGAAATTTATAAGTAGGGCTTTGAGATCCACTAAGGATCTCAATCTACTGGTTCTAGAACTCTTCCCAACACAAACTACGGTTAGAAATGTACACACAAAATACACACCCAACCCATCCTCAGTCCTTGAGGTCAGCGCACAGATGTAAACGTGGACCCATGGGGTAAAGTGTATCCATTCAGTGCTCCAGTCGATTTGCAAACATTAAACGGTAGATGCTTCCACCCATTCTCTCACCTTTCCAATACTGCTGTATGGTGGTTTATTTGGATTACAGGATGTCAGGCACAGGCCTTTAGCAGAGACTGAGGTTAAAGATCAACCTCTATGCACAAAGGTTAGAATGGTACCCTTTACTGCTAGTGTCTTCTTGCTCAGTAATGGGAGTCCATCCTTTCTCCATGAGGCCTCTGTTGTCTTTTAGAAGGCTGCAATAAGACCATTTCCTCATATAAATTTAATTAGGATTCCCCTTGATTATTACTCATCTGATTACTGCAAAGAACCATGTAAGAGTACCCAGAACACCTTAATTTAAAGAACGTGACTAGAAATTGCCATATGGCTACCACATTTTAGCTCTGAAAGTAAAGGAATGCTGAATCATTCTGATCCTGAGACAAACTATAACACAGCCTCATTTCCAGGTCAGATTCATTTTTTTCTGTCTTGGTATCTGTCCTTGAGTTTGTGACTATACCTGTTTTGGGGGACAGTTAATCATAAAGATCTGTGGGTGGCCAAACAACTTAATTTGCACAAATGACTGTCCTCATATAATGGCTCATTACAAAAACCTTTGCACATCCAATCATGATTCCTCAAACACAGAAGCTAATTACAATAAAAGTCTCATATATTCAAATTAACCTTTAAGGCACTTCACGACATTAACTGAAGACCTACTGTGTACCGTTATGGAACATACATTTGAGGAATCCTCCATCATTTAGAGAAAAAGAGAAGATAAACTATAAATAGATAAATTGTAATAAAATACGATGAATGCTATTTTTAAAGGTATATGCAATGTTTTTTGGCAGCAGATGGAAGAGTGCTTGGGGGCAGGGTAGGGAGTTCAAGAAAGACTTTATAGAGATGAGTGACTTGAGCTAGAAATAAAGGATGAATAAAAGTTTACCATGTGAGAGGGAGCTGGACAAGATGGGCATCTCAGGCAGAGGGAATTTCAGTGCAAGGGGCAGGGTGAAGTCAGTGTAGGTTGATGTATGGAGTGGAGTGGAAACAAATTCTGGTTCTGCTGAAACCAGAATTACTGAGTATTGGTCCTTACTGGCAGGCCAGACACTCTTATTGATGTTTATAAGAGTTAATATGTAAAAAGAACCTAGACCTCATGTGCCTAGAGCATAATAAACAGTACATATATTTTGCTTTAACTATTATTATGTGCATTTTGGTGCCATATTCACTACCATCTTATTCTGAGGTTGAGAATAATTCATAAATTTTTGTTGAATGAATGAATGAATGAAGAACTTGTGTTTTCTAAGAAGGAAATGGAGATGGATATGATGCTCTTAATGCTACATCCAGCAAAAAGGTGAAGGGCAAGTGTTTTTTTACAGGATTGCTTCAGTCACCTGAAGGTCATTCCACTTTTCCCAGTAGTCTCCTCATCCGAATCTGTGCTGGGGAGGTAGATCACTGGGTTAAAAATAATAATCATAAAACTTTGCATTTCCATAGCATTTTCAGTTTACTTGTATTATCTCTAAAATAACTACAGTCTTTAAATCCAAAATTTTCTGATCTGAATCCAATTTCCAGATACAAACTGAAATTCTTATCTCTGGATCTGGGCTCCCAGCAATCTCCACAGAGCAACTCAGAAAAGAATTTAAGCAACTGCTTGAAGCACTGCCCATACCTGTCCCAAACTGACTTCTTCATCTACTCCTTCACCAATCTTAAGAAGAAACAGAAAGGAAGGAAGGTATGAAGACTGTAAAGGTGGTACCTTTACTTGCTAAACATAAAATTACTTTGCAAAGTCACTGTCTAGCTTCAATTTAATTCAATTCAGTTCAATTCCATATCTACTGAGAAAGGCACTATAGGTTGCAGATGTCCCAAAGCATACTTATTCCACATCACTGGGCTGGGAATTAGGGCATCAGGTTTTTAACTGTGGGTTTGCTGCTAACTAGCTGGATGGCACTGAGGCAAGTCACTTAATCTCTTTGAGCATCAGGTTCTTCTTATTTAAAATGAAGGGGTTAGGATGGATGATCTCAGAGTCCTTCCCAGATCTCGCATTCTATAATTCTCAAATGGGAAACAGTATTGATATCATTATAACTATCTATTTCTGTATTTCAAAGTCAGTAAATTCTAGAGATTTATTTTTTCAGGGGCATATTCTAGCTTAGCAAATTGCCAAGGGTTTTCTATAGTTTGACTACAGAAGAAATTGGGAAATAGAGCCCACAATCTTTATTCATTCAAAAATATTTGAGTGCCTATTATGTACAAGGAGCTATTCTAGTCACTATTACAGCACTGAACAAAATAAACGAGCTCACTCTTCTCAGGGAACTTCCCTATGCTTTAATTCACCTCGCAACAAATAAATCTTTTGACTGCTTTCAGTGGCAGAAACAACGATCTATTAGGTTTATTTTGTGTGCTGTCATATGTATGTGGCTATCTGTGAATTAGCAAAAAATTTAAAAAAATGCATCAAAAAATAACGTTTTTCAATTTCTCCATTGACCAGACAAATAACTATGTAGATTTTTTGGTAGTTTAAAAATAAGTAACTCCTGGCTCATGAATTGACAGATACATTCACACATGAATTCAGTAAAATTTTAGACACTAAACAAAAGGGTTTAAATGTTTCCTGCTGCACTAAAATTTAATTTTCTTTTTCTGAGGCAGACTCTTTAAAATGGGGTTAGATACAAA